CCAGGAAGCGCAACAAAACTAAGAGAACCGGCCGGAATGTGTGGAAGCGTTTCGACCTGCTCAAGTCAGAGCCACCTATCAGCAACAAGTCGTCCTTACTCCTGAACACCTTAATCCTAATCCCTAAGCCCCCAAACCCTTATAAAGGCAAAGCTAATCCGAAGTTAATCCCGAGCCATTCAGGCATGGAACCGCCATCGCGGAGGACATCCGGGCCTCGAAGAAGGGAATGGACCCAAACGGAACGGGGCGCTGGTGGAAGGTTCATCCCGATCAGCCCAAGAACGAGGTGGGTCGACCCCCCAAAAAAAAGAAACATAGTGCAACAACTAGGAGGGCTCGTGCCTGAAGTGAACAACTCTTGCCATTCCGAATCCCCAACCTATCCCTCCACGTTGCATCCTTTGTGAGTTATAGGCAATAGAGCTATGTCGGGATGAGAAGGGATATATTAGGAGGTCGACAACATACATGTCTAAATGCTAGAACCTAGGATTCTAGGAGCTCCCCAAAACCTTAACCCCTAAACTTCAAGCTATAGCCTATGCCAGGACTGGGAGCTCTTCAAGTGCTTCGACTCCCGCGAGGAAGTCTCCGAGAGTGAAGATGAACAGGAGTTCAACTTCCAGGCTGACGTGGGGCTGGATCATGACGGGACCACAGGTGTGCTGTGGCTTGCCTACATACTATGTAGGTTGTGCCTCTAGATCTCAACTTTTCTAGATGAAAAACTCACTATATCAAGGTCGCATCTTCTCGATGCTCCTCGTGGAAGCAATGATCCCCCGCCGCCGGCCAATTCGAACACGAACCCGCGCAAAAATCCCAGGGGGGAGAAGAAGGCTAAGGCTGCACCGGAGGAGGCTTTAACCTTGCTCCAAAAAGGCACTCAGCGCATCATCGAGGCGGACGGCATGGAGAACATGCTCCTGCGCGGCGGCATGCACCTTGGATCGTCTTTTAATTCCATTGTATGTTATTTCATTAACCCTTAGCCGCAAAAACTGTAAACCCATATGACTATTTAAAGCCTGTGCTCTCGACGAAAAGAAAGTGGGCCCCAGCTAGCTAGCTATAGGGAGGATATCAGTACAAGGGGTAGGGGATATACAGGGCTTCAGGACTTAGGGTTTTGTGTTGTGGGGTGGTGCTTAGGGGTCGTGGGTTTTATTTCGTGTAATGTATATTTGGGTGTGTTGCTGCGAGGCTCTCACTTTAGATGCCCTAGGTGTAGCCGTATATAATGTCATGTTG